AACCTTCCCAATCTTTTTTAGGACTTTAGGATTTTCTACACACAGACACAAGGGAGCTTTAAGAATTCTGCATGCTCTAAGCCTTTCACATTGTCTGTCCCAGATGAACTGAAATCCTTTATTATTTCTATACTTCTTTTGCCTACAATATCTCCTAACTGTTCAAGTGTCTATTCTACACATAATAATATGATTGCTCTGTTTTTGTTTTTAATTTCAACATACATGACTATCTTCTATAAAACAACCCCCTTTCCTGCCTTGCCTGAAGATTTTGTACCATGGTATACTGAGCTGCCACTTCTGTCCCTCCCTCAACCAATAACCAGTGATAGCAATAATATCATATAGACCACATGTTAATCAGTACCCTCAACTGCAATACTCCTTGCTCCAGTCTTGACATGCTCTATTGAGCCTTAACTTACCTATATATATTCTATCTTCCACACTGACTTGATTTTTATTCAATATCTGTTCATGCATCATCACCCACTTCACCTCCACTCGACAAGCTATCCCCTGCCAAATTAGTTTAAACCCCCACTAACAGCACTAGCAAACCTTTGTCCCCTGCAAAGATGCTGCTCCTGTTAAGATTCAGAATTAACAGGTCCCACCTACCCCAGAAACAGAACCAGTGAAAAGTGATCTAGGAATCTAAAGCCCTATCTCCTGCACTAACTCTTCAGCCATGTAATCACCTGCTCTACCTACATATTCTCAAACTTACTAGCAAATGACACCAGGAATAATCTAGAGATTACAATATTTTATGTCTTGCCTCCTGGTACACCGCACCCCGACAACCCCCCAAAATTCTTTCGCAGGACCCTATCACTCTTTCTGTCAATGTTGTTGGTACCAACATGAACCATGACCTCCATCTGTTTGATCTTCTCCTTCAGAATGCCCTGCAGCTGCTCGGTGATATCCTTGACTCTGGCTCCAGAAAGCAACACACAATCCTGGAGTAGTGCCTGCAGCCGCAGAAACACCCCCAGTATTTAGGCTTCTATCACTATTGTTCTTCCTCTCTTTCATGCCAGCCCTCATGCATCTAGACACTAGCTGTACTCCTTTCTTACCCTCAGAACATCCAAAGCATCAGGCGTAGCCACTGCTATGTTGGAAATTGTTTGTTTGCTCACAACAAGACTCCAAAACCAGCAGTGAGAGAAGTGAGTAGATAATCTGTTACAGTCGTACTGGATGAAGGATACACATTGATAAGGACATCAGGGAGAACACTCCTGCTTTCCTTTCAATAACATCATGAAGTATTTGGTGCGTGCCTGAGAGGGAAACATGGCTCAATGTGCCAAAATACCTCAGACAGTGTTGCACACATACAGAATTGCAATAAGAGATAACAAGGTGTAGAGCTGGATGAACACAGCAGGCCAAGCAGCACCTTCTTCAGAAAATGGGTCTAGACCCGAAACGTCAGCTTTCCTGCTCCTCCGATGCTGCTTGGCCTGCTGTGTTCATCCAGTTCTACACCTTGTTATCTCAGATTCTCCAGCATCTGCAGTTCCTACTACTACAGAATTGCAATGATGCCAGTCTAAATTCCATACTTGGGATCCAAAAATACAATCACCTCACGTAAAGTAAGAGGGCTCCCACTGACCTGCAGTTGAAACAAGTTTACTTGGAGCACAAGATGCTTGCTATTTAGTTGGGAATGAGGCAGAATTTGGTCATGAGGGATTGGAATTCTAAAGACCTTGCTCCTAATGTACTCAAAGTACAAAGCTCAGCAGATCATTCAGCCCATCAAAGCTAAGTTGGGTCAACCAATGATCTTACAAGTCTTTTATATATGTGAATTAGAAACTCTTGTGGATTCATATTGTATGTTTACCCACAAAATTCCAGAGAGATATCAAATTCTCAAGTAGAATAATGATTTCAATATATTTACTTACTCCCATTTATTAGCTGCATTCACTTGCAGGTATGAAAATGGTCATAAAGTAAACAGTGACATTTACTAACATATTCATGCGTTGAGCTACCACACTCCGCAAGTGTAATTCTTATTTCTACACCCCTCTGTTCTGATAATGTTTTAATATTCCCAAATAAATAGCAGCAATTTCTTAACCCTATCACAAACTGCACAATTTTTCTCTGGCCACCTCTTCAGGCCAAATCAGACCACTTGACAACTTCTCATCCTCTTCAGCCCCAGAGTTACAATTTCCATATCATTTCAAATTAATGGTGCAGCTGAATTTGATTTCATAGAATCACAGAATCCCTACAGTGTGGAAGTAGGCAATTCGGTCCATCAAGATTACACCAACGCTCCGAAGAGCATCCCACCAAGACCCACTTTCCTATCCTATCCCTGCATTTTCCAGGGCTAATCCAGTTAGCCTGCACATCCCTGGACATTATGGGCAATTTAGTATGGGTAATTTAGCATGGCCAATTCACCTCACCTGCACATCTTTGGAGTGTGGGAGAAAACCGGAGCACCCAAAGGAAATCTGTGCAGACATGGGGAGTATGTGCAAACTCCACAGACAGACAGGGAGGAATCGAACCAGGGTCCCTGGAGCTGTGAGGCAGCAGTGCTAACCACTGAGCCACCACGTTCATTCTGTTTGCTATCTGGTATTAATGGTGAAAAATCGTAACAAAGTTTTTTGTTTTGCACTCATTAGCAGCTTGCAACAATACAAATGCAAGGAGAAATACATTTATATAGCAATTGGAGAGTGCTGATCTGTCGGCAAATGGACTCTTATGGAGGAGATATTGCCATGGAGAATTTAACAGTCAATGATCAACAGTTAATTGCCAAGTTATGTTTAACTTTTACACCAAGAAGACTCTGATTTGTCAAAATATTGCCCTAAGAAATGAACCAGCGATTGACTATCACCTATTTGGTGGAGTTAAAATAGGTACAGTATGACGCGTGCTTTCTGTCCACAAAGTACAGAGGCCTGTGTATTCATATGTGTCACCTTAAGTGCACACATATCAACCATCAACACGCTCCTCTCACACAGTATAAACATTGGTTTCCCTTGCATTGATATTCTTGTGAATTGTCCGTATGAGTGCAAGGTGAAAAATTTCAACAAAATGTATTTTTTTCTCAGCAATACACAAACTGTGTACTACTGAGCAACTGTTTACTCAGAGTTAGTGCCAAACACTTGGCTATTCTTCAACAATTAGCTACCATTTCAAAATCCAAAAAAAATCTGTCAAATTTCTGAAGAAAAAATTATAAATTAACCATATTTTTGAAATGAATGCTCAATTACCAAATTTTCCCTTTGATTAACATTTGAACTGAACTTTAACTGACATATTAAAGCTGCAGATTGTTGTGTAAGGGATGTAAGACCCTGGTTCAATTTAACAATAATGTTATGAAGCTGCATCTTAATGGATACTAACAGCAGTGACTGTAGAGCTAAGAAAGCGAGAAACACATGGGGATCCAGGCAGACACCTGAAGGCCAGCAATAGCCTTCAGGTGTCTGCCTGAATCCTACAGTGTGGAAAGAGGGCATTTAGCCTGCTGAGACTGCACCAACACTCCAAACAGCAACCCACCCAGACCCAGGCCCCACCCTGTCCCTGTGACCCTGCATTTACCATGGTCAATCCACCTGACCTGCACATCCCTGGACATTATGGGCAATTTAACATGGTCAATCCACCTACCTGCCCATCTTTGGACTGTGGGAGGAAAACAGAGCGCCCGGCAGAAACCCATGCAGACACGGGGACAACGTGCAAACTCCACATAGACAGTCATTCAAGATTGGAATTGAACCCAGGTCCATGATGCTGTGAGGCAGTAGTGCTAACCACTGAGCCACTGTGCAAAGAATGTAAAAGATTGAGCAGGATAAGGTGACAGAGTTCATGGAATAGTCATTCAATAATCTTACACTAAGAATAGAGGCTGGTATATCTCTGAACTGTATCATGTACTGCAGTACTTAGTCTTCGGATGTAATAAGAAGCCCAAGCCTATAGACTGTTTTTGATCTTGACTTCTCTTCAACCAGTCTACCTTGAACCAAAACGCTTGGATATGGACATAGAACTACACAACAAAAGAAATGTATCATCTATGCAAAGGAGAATGAATTTATCACGTCACAACTACCCCCCTCACCATTATTCCTTCCGTGGAAGCAATGTGGCTTAGTGTTTTGTTGATAGGAGCAAACAACAATCTGTTTTCCAACATAAAAAGTAAGTAATGCATAATCTGGCCTTCCATCCATTATTTCTAAACTTTTGTTTCTAAAAACTAATCGTCACAGGTAATTATGGAAACGTACATTTCTTCCTCCCGTTTCTCTACACATACTGCCTCCCCTGACTTACAGCATTGTGTGGAGGCAGGGCCAGTGAAAATTTTAAGGCTGAGTTACATCAATCTTGACTGACAAAGGAGTCAAGACATTTGCAAGGTAGACAGGAAAGTAAAGGTCACAATCAGATCAGCTGAGATTTTATCAAATGGCGGAGCACACTCAAGGAACTGAACAGCCTATGCAAGCTTACAGTTCGTGTTTTTATGGAATTTGACTGGAACAGGGTACCTGAAATTAAACATCTGCTGCAGTAATGTCCTTCACTTGACAATGCACAAAGGTAAAAAACTATGCAATGCCAACATTATGATATAGATCTACTTTAGTATAAAAGAAAACATCTTCACATTGACACAGCAACGGTGGTGTGAATACAGTTCAAGTTAACAGAAAGAAAATTTATTGCTCTCAGATGTATTCATGATCCATGACCCTCTTTAGTCAGCTGAAATACTGCCCACATTTTCAGCTTCTAGTAGTAGTATCTACTTTTCAGGTTTTTATAGAACAAGCCATTGTGAAAAGTATAATTGCAAATTTTTTCCAAGTGCTAGGTGACTTGGTACGAGTCAAGAAAGCCCAGATAATCTTCGATCTACCCTGTTTAACAAATTTCTTAAGACACTATCAATTCAATCATACCTGTGGACAATCCCCCATTCTCATTGGCTCCCGACCCTCCTGTCACATTCGATCGAAGATAACTTTGTAAGACAAGACTGCTTCTCCACCTCGCACTGCACGGTTCCTCAGCTGGAGGCGAAACCAGTGGTTTTTAAATACAAAAAATACAACTGGTTTCTTCAAAGGAGTAATTTTCAACATTTCAAAAGGTATTACTGAATGGTAACAGCATATTTGCACCCATGTTGAGGAATAGATTGTGTTCTCTTATTGAAAGGAATTGACTTTTCTCATAGCCAAGCCAAAGAAAATAAAATTGTTCTTATTGCTCAACTACTGTGGCAAAGTGCAAGCCAGTAGGCCACTCTGGTGGCTGCTGCAACTACACTTTCAACTTACTCTGATGTGCTCCCTGAGGTAACAGAACACTCGGCACAGTTGTATTACTACCCTGCAAACTTTGAGACAATGGTCCAAGCTTTCTGGTCATCAGGGAAAGAGAGGGCATTTGCTAACAACCTTAAAAGTAAACTGTCCACTAGGTCTAGTGATTGTTGAGTGGTTGATTTCCTCTACTAAGACGTCATTTTCATTCTGGCACCATCTATATGTAACCCATGGCATGCAAGAATATTGAAGTCATCAAACAGCCAATCTGACTGAAGCACTCTCTCAGACAAGAAAGTTTGTAAAAAAAAAAAAAAATATATACTTTTCCTTCTTTAATCAATCGATTTGGTGAGGAGTATAAAGTTTGGGTTACATGCGATTAACCTAGGTGATATATTAAACATAAAATAAAAGTTATTAAAAATCTACAAAATTTATCATGGAACAGAAAACCCTACACTTCCACAATGAGATTTTCAGAACCAGCGAAGTTGTTCAACAATAATTATGATCAAAGTCCAGTATTAAAAATCCATTTCAACATGCTCTAACATGACCAATCATTTCCAGCTGGAATAGTGTATTAAACATTGTTCAGGTCAAATCATCAATTTCTATGCTGAGCGCATCTGCAAAAACTGCAACTGTGCATTGTATGGGCAAGCAGGGTGTCACACCTAGCACCTTTCGAATGTGTGTGTTTTTACTGGGCATGTGTGGACACCAGAAGCTGCAGTGAGTTTTACACAGTAATCATCTTGAGCCCTGAAAGTTTTATCATTATTACAATCACAACTTCCACACCAAAGCATCTGATAGATCATAAAACCACAACATGAACACAAACATGTCTCATTATTTTGGAATTCGGTCATAATTTCTTAAATGTCTCAGCAAATAAATGTAAATAGCTCAAAGGGAGAAGGCAAATTAAACAATGTTAACTAAGCAATATTGATATCAACAAAGTCAATAATATTGGCACCTTAACGTATAAATTTTCAGTGAGCATCTTAACATGTAAAGTCTCCATTTATAGTTTAGTGCTTCAATCTCCAGAATACAAAAGACAAGTACAATACAGCTACTTCTATTGCACTTGTACCATATATTGAAAATACAGTATGTGAATAATTTATAAATTTTCGGAGGGTGTAATATATAATCAGCCCATCCAATTAAGTTACCAAACAAACTGACAAACTGCTTAATTCAATTCCTTAATGCAAATGTTTTCAGTGCAAATCAGTTATTAATACAAATTGAAGTTGCAGAATACATTTCCTATTTCTCACTTTCCACTTGGCTGTACAAATAACAGGCCAACTTAGTCTGTACAAATGTGGATAAACATTTCACAGTAACCACAACTCCCAACAAGCTCTGTTCTCCTCTCATCCCTTACTAACATACATTGTGATCTTATCTTGTTGCACCTGGAGTCAATGCGAAAATTCACATCCTTTCAAATCCTTCCATGGCTTTGCCTCTCACTACGTTTGTAGCTCTTCTGAACTGCACAACACAAGGCTTCAGCATGCCTGAAATTTTTAAGTCATTCTACCATTGGAATACATATTTTAGCTACCTCAGCCCCAAATTATGGGCTTCCCTGCAACCCCACTCCTCTCTCTCTTTTCTCTCCTTTAAAACTAACCTTTTTGAAAAGATTTAGTCACTTGTTAGAGGATCTTTTGTAGTTTCATGCCAAATTTAATTTGACAGTGCTCTCATGAAGTGATTTTGAAACTTCTGCACTATTTACTATATGACATCAAGCTGTTAGTGTATAGACTGCACAGATTAAGACAATGCCAGCCACCATCAGTTCTGAGGAAGGGTCACAAGACCCAAAACATTAACTCTGTTTTTACCTTCACAGATGCTGCCAGACCTGCTGAGCTTTTCCAGCAAATTTGTTTTTGTTCCCGATTTACAGCAATCCGCAGTTCTTTCGGTTTTTATTTTCCACTTTTACTGACTTAACTGATCTTGGTATAGATCAGCAAACGGCAACATAAATAACTTCAAAATTGATTAGTTTGGACTAAAGAAGGGGAAAGATAATCTATGATGCCATCTAAATGGTCATGGAATTATTGGTTGTCTCCTACACAATACCATCCTTTCAGTCCAGAAAGGAAAACCCAGTTATTCCCTTCTCTACTCCCTTCATATACTTACCCAATTCCATTTTGAAGTCTAGTCATGAATATGCATTCACCAGCATAAAGCTAACTACATTCAAGTTTCTATCAATTACTGAAAAAAAACATTTTGCCTTTTTTCCCCACAATTATTTAGATGTCTCCTCTGTTTATTGACGCTTCTGCCATAGGAAACAGCTACTCTTTAATATATGCGTTAAATTCCTGGAACTCCTGTGGGTTTATGACTGCAACCAGAAACTTAGCAGTGTGGGAATAAAGGTGCAATTGACAATAACTTGTAACTGCACGTATTTTGTTTTAAAATATGCCAAACAGTATTTAGTGCTATGAGTGGTTCAAAGAAGTTTCAAAACAATTTAAAGCTTTGACCCAAAGCCATGGAAGTTGTATTTTACTGGTAAGAGAAAGGGTCAAGAGGAGATCAAGGAAAGCTAATTTAACAAGTAGCAAAATCTAAACAGCAAACGTTCCTGCTCCAAAAGCAGACAAGTGCCTGACCAACATTACGCTAAGAGTGACAGACAAGTTTTCCTTTACTTGGACATGAAAAAATTATGGCAAAAATGTGACATGACAAATCCAAATACTTCAAACAAAGTTGACCTTCTCATTTCAAAACATTATGCATGTTAAGAAAAAGCTGGGACGGTTCGGGGAAGAGGGGAGCTTATTCCTCTCTCTCTCTCAGCTAACGGAAAGTTTGCCAGCGGCCGTCGCCGTGACTCTGAACTGGGATGTCTGAAGTGGGGAGTACTTCAATTCACGGGGATGACTACCAGCCACTGGGAGGGAGGCCGGGCCGGGCCAGGCCACGCCACGCTAACCAACGGCAACTTTAGCCACTTTCTGAAATAACAAAAAAAAACCCTGTCTTAAATTATGTCAAGCTTGTAATTCTGCATTTGTTAAATTACATTGTTGGCTACTAAATTGTAAGACATCGTGTGCCAAGTTATATTTAATTGCACTGCATTTTACATTGTATTAAACTGTACTTCGTTACTGCATTTTTATAGAACAGGATACATTCTACAATTATGTATTAGTAAATCGCAGTTATTTCAGACTGTCCCTGTTAGCTGCGGTTAATGTTGCTCTATTGTAATATTACACATTAAGTTAAATTTTAATGGACTGTGATATAATAGGTTATGCTGTTTGAACATAGTGTTATCTTACATATTGTGTTTACATCAAACAAAATTTACTTTAGATTATACGGCATTGAATGCACAGTCGATGTACAGTTTATAAAGTTACATTGCTCTCGTTAATTTGCAGCATATTAAACCGGATTGCTTGTGTAGGCAGGCGTCAGACTAGCATACGGTGTGCTGCGTGTTTATTCTACGGATTTGGCTGTGGTTACAGCAAAATTCTACAAAGTGCCCTCTCTCCCGGAGTGAATGAAAACAAGCAGATCCCAGCAAGTGCGCATGAGTGGAGTTAGCAGCGCCTGGGCCATTCTGGTGAAATGTGTGTGTATGTGTGTCTGTCGTCCCCGCCCGGCCCATCCGCCAGGACACAGGGTGGACTGGAGAGAGAGAGAGAGAGAGAGTGTCCGCCGGATTGAGGGGGGAGGGGTAACCGAGTAGGTGCCGTTGGCGGGACGGTTCGGGGAAGAGGGGAGCTTATTCCTCTCTCTCTCTCTCTCAGCTAACGGAAAGTTTGCCAGCGGCCGTCGCCGTGACTCTGAACTGGGATGTCTGAAGTGGGGAGTACTTCAATTCACGGGGATGACTACCAGCCACTGGGAGGGAGGCCGGGCCGGGCCAGGCCACGCTAACCAACGGCAACTTTAGCCACTTTCTGAAATAACAAAAAAAAACCCATCCCGCTGCCTCCTGTTCACCACCGCAGCCCGGCAGGGGAGGACAGAAGGGAGGGGGCGGGAGAAATCTCTCTAAATTCAGTTGAATTCACGGTAAAATCAGCTGCGCGTACCTTGAAGCCCTGTAAAAAATCAGAAGAATATCAATTCAGCAGATTTCTCCAGCTCTCCGAGCCAGACAATAAAATCAGACCCGTCCAATCGCACCTGCTCTCATGATCATGACGTCCGAGGCGACAGGAACCAATCGACGCCCGCCTTCTGCCCAGGCTCGGCGGGGAGCAGGAGCGGGGTGCGCAGGCGCCGACGGGAATTCACCCGTCTCTTCCCCTTCACCCCGCTTCCAGACCCCATTCTCTGCCCCGCCCACCCCACCCCGGCCTGTCCATGGCAACGGCCCCAAGCCGGAAGTCCCGCCTCTCCTCCATGGCAACGGCCGCCTTTCCCCGGACCGGAAGTCTCCGCTCCTACCTGACAACGGAGTTGCGGCTGGAGTCTCCTGAAGCTTTGGACTTGATAATTTTTGGGGTCGGGTGGGGTGTGATGGATGGTGGGGGTTGTTGTTGATTGGCATTTTAGTTTTAAATCTAATGGCGACTTTTATTTGTTCACGCTGTTTGTCGGTTGTGGGAAAGCCGAGAGGGTGCCCGTGTTGAAATTGTAAGGTTGGACTCAAGTCACGTGATAATCTGCACCCTCTTCACTTCCCCCGAGCGCTCCCCCCAGCCCCCCCAAAACACAAAGCTGCATCGCTGCTTGAGTTATGTCACCACTGTGCTGAGAACGAAAGCTAAAGAGGAACAGGAGTTGGCCCTGCATTTATCCTTGGGCTTTAGTACCCTTTCATAAGAGCTAGGAGCAGGAGTAGGCCGTCCGGCCCTTCGAGCCTGCTCTGCCATTCAATAAGATCATGGCTGATCTTTTCGTGGACTCAGATCCACTTACCCGCGTTTTCACCATATCCCTTAATTCCTTTATTGTTCAAAAAAATATCTACCTTATGTTTAAAATTGTTTACTGAAATAGCGTCAACTACTTCACTGGGTAAGGAATTCCATAGATTAACAACCCTCTGGGTGAAGAAGTTCCTTCTCAATTCAGTCCTAAATCTGCTCCCTCTAATCTTGAGGCTATGCCCTCTTGTCCAAGCTTCGCCTGCTAGTGGAAACATCCTCTCTACTTCTATCTTATCTATTCCCTTCATAATTTTATATGTTTCTATAAGATCCCCCCTCAATGTTCTGAATTCCAATGAATATAATCCCAATCTACTCAGTCTCTCCTCATAAACCAACCCCCTCAACTCCGGAATCAACCTAGTGAACCTCCTTTGCACCCCCTCCAGTGCCAGTACATCCTTTCTCAAGTAAGGAGACCAAAACTGCACACAGTACTCCAGGTGTGGCCTCACCAGCACCTTGTACAGCTGCAACATAATCTCTCTGCTTTTAATCTCAATCCCTTTAGCAATGAAGGACAAAATTCCATTTGCCTTCCTAATTACTTGTTGTACCTGCAGACCTACCTTCTGTGATTCATGCAAAAGGACACCCAGGTCCCTCTGCATAGCATGCTGCAACTTTTTACCATTCAAGTAATAATCCTTTTTACTATTACTGCTACCAAAATGTATGACTTCACATTTATTTACATTATATTCCATTTGCCAGACCTTTGCCCACTCACTCAATGTATCTATGTTCCTCTGCAAAGTTTCACAGTCCTCTGCACACTTTGCTCTGCCACTCATCTTAGTGTCATCTGCAAACTTTGACACCCTACACATGGTCCCCAACTCGAAATCATCTATATAAATTGTATTATAAATTATAAATTGTATAAATTTCCCCACTTAAAAAACCCTGACTGACACTGTTTTGAAATTATTGTGTGTGCTGCCAACCAGGAGAAAGTAAAGGAAGCAGGGTGTGAAAGCCACGATTATAGGCAAAGATCAAAGTTGGGGTTAAATTTTGCAGGCTGGCCTCCTGCTCTAAACTTGGGCACCCATTTTCAATACTCTCCTCTCAGTTACTTTACTCAAAGTAACTTGCTTGTCTGCCACTAGGTGGAATACGTATTTTCATGTTCAAAAAAGGTTAAGTAAGACGAAAGTGTGAATTAGAAGGTGCTACTAGCTTTTGTCTGCCAAATTGTTCAATTGATAGTATTTAAACTTCACATTTGACTTGTCTTATTTGCAAATAATGTCAGTTTGAAGAAGTGTATTTAATAGGCCAATCGGTGTGGGTAGGGGGAGACAAATGCAGCACTGGGAAAGAAATGGAAAGTTAAAACAAAAATGCTGGAGATCACAGCGGGTCAGGCAGCATCCATGGACAGAAAGCAAGCTAAGTTTAGAGTCTAGATGACTTGAAAATTAGGTCCTGAGGCAGACACGAAAATGGATAGAATGTAGCATTTTGAGGTTTTATTTTCCATATTAACGTGAGTTTTCTTGTTACCACATCTTTCATCTTCATAGAGTCCTAAAATACTTCTGATTATTTCTACCCTTCTAACTACTACTTCACTGCATGATTTGTTATCATTTGTCTTAAATATACAAATGTATCTATGCATTTCTTTGTGACATTGTCTATTTCAATCCTTCACTTCATCTAAGGTATTCCTGCTAACTACCATTGTTTTGCCTTTTTCAATCCAAATGGAAAATTTCTAGATTTTGATTGATCTAAGTTATTTTGTAGGACCTCTTTTAACTCTTAAAGAAGTTCTGTGTCAACAGTATTCTACAATTTATGTTCTTCCCTCTATTCTTTATCTTTCAAAGTACATCTCATTCTTGAATATTTGAGTATGGATTACATAATTTTGGTGACAGTACGCAACCTTATCGTGTCCTCTCTTCCCTTGAAACATATCTGATTGTCGCTTCTCTTGCATGATGCTCTCTATTTGGTCCCAGTATATGTTGTGGATAAATCTCGCTTCTTTAGTCTCAATGTCAGATTTCAGCAATATATTTATTAACATTGATGTTAAACGTGATTGAATAATTTTTCATGTCTATGAAGTGCAATTAAATGTTCTTGTTTATTTCTAGATATTCGTCAAAGATTGTTCTTCTGTTAAATATTTCTGGATCCTAATTCAGGTCAAATCCAGATTATGTTTCACCAATCTCACTTCAAATGTTTATTTTTTTCATTCTATTATGATTTTCAAAGTGACTTCAATGAAATGATTTATTATGTTTATAATTCCAAAATGATTGCATTCCAATGCTTTAGGTTTTATGAGTAACTTACTGAATAACAATGTCTCAAATCATTTGGAATGTTGCCTTTGGAATAT